CGCGGCCTGGGCCCCGCTGGCCGATCTACCCCCCCAGATGGGGATATAGGTCGTTCTCTTCGGGTTTCCACGGGTGCATCCTCAACTGGGGTGGTAGAGATGCGATGTCGTGATTTTTTCAATACGGGGTCCCCAGAAGTCTCAACCCTTTCCCCAGGACCGGCTTTTAATCCTGAGTCGTCTTGTTGACAGTCCCGGGGCCCGGCGAGGGCCGCTAGAGGCCGAAAAACGAGAAAAACCTCCGTCTTGATTTTTTCAGTATGAATTGGAGGTCTGGGGATGGGGATCGGTGAAACGATGACCGACCGACCAACGATGGGGATGGGGATCGGCTCAACGACACCGAGGGCGGGCGGGGGACTGGCGCCTCCTTCGCCCGGAACAGCTCGAGGCACACGCCGGGCCAGCCGAGGTCGTGGTCGGCGAGCACGGAGGCCCTCCAGCAGGGCAGCAGGGCCCTGGCAGGGGCGGCGCGCCGCGCCCCGCCGTGGAGCTCTCCGGGCGCCGCCAGCTGCTCGCGCCGAGCCTCAAAAACGGCCTCCCTCCTCCCTCCTCCCCCCTCCTCCCCCTCCTCCCTCCTCCCCCTCCTCCTCCTCCCTACCTTCTCCTCCCCCTCCTCCTCCTCCGCCTCCCTCCCTCCTCCTCCCCCTCCTCCTCCGCCTTCCTACATCCTCCTCCTCCCCCTCCTCCCTCCACCTCCTCCTCCTTCCTCCCTCCTCCCTCTACTCCTCCGCCTTCCTGCCTCCTCCTCCGCCTTCCTACATCCTCCTCCTCCCCCCTCCTCCTCCTCCTCCTCCTCCTCCTCCTCCTCCTCTCTCCCCTCCTCATCATCATCATCATCATCATCATCATCATCATCATATCATCATCATCATCATCATCATCATCATCATCATCATCATCCTTCTCCTCCTTCTCCTCCCTCCACCTCCCCCTCCTTCCTCCTCCCTCCTCCCTCTCCTCCCTCCTCCCTCCTCCCTCCTCAATTCCTATTCCTTATGCATAACTTCTCCCTGTCGCACCCCGAGGCGGGGCTGGGCGTTTCGCCTGAGACTTCCTCACCATGTGCGATCATAAAGGTTAAAGTCTGCTACCATTTCACGGATGGAGGGCGGATGGTTTTCAAAATGTGGCTCTCGCCTGAGCGCAGCGCACATTCACGGATGGAGGGTGGGTCGTTTTCAAAATGTGGCTCTCGCCTTATTGCCGCGCACACTCGTCTTAAAAGTCTGCAAGAGCTTCACGGATGGAGGGCGGGTGGTTTTCAAAATGTGGCTCTCGCCTTACCGCCTTCAACGTGTACTATGAGGAGTACTTCGGTTTCGCCCAGGGCGACAATTTGTTCAGTCCCCCCCCGCCCCTGGGGCACGGACGGGGCGAGGACGTTCAACAAGCTGTACTAGTAAGCGACCCTCTTCTTGGGGGAGGTGGCGACCACCCTCTAGCAGGAGGAGGTGGAGCAGGCCGTAGTGATGGCCTGAAGCCTTCTGACGTCCCGGCGCTGATCAACACGGAAGCAGCGGAGATCCTCGGGATCCCTCTCGACGACAGCGACGACTAGTCCGCCGTCGGCGAGGACGTGGGGGAACCCCGAGAGCCCCTCCAAGCAGGTGACCGGCGGCTCGACCTGGTCGCCCTAGAGATCCTTGGTATCACCCACATCCTCGCCGACGACGACGAGGCCGACGAGTTGTACGAGGCCGCCCTGGCCGAATCCAGAGCCCTTTTCGAGCTTGACGACGAAGACTTCGGGGCCAGGCTGGCCGCAACGGAGGTCACCGCCGAGAACCGCTCTGGTGTCCCGAAGGCCCCCTCGAGAGTGAAGTGGAGCGACCTCGAGGACACCGAGAGCGACTGCGACGTCGAGTGGGAGCAGGCCCACGCGCGCGACTGGGCGAAGGTGGACGCGTCGAGCCGCCTCCCCGCCGCGCCGGAGACCAGGCCCGAGGCACCAGGCAGACGGGCCGCCAGGAGGGCGCAGCGCCGGCGGCGCCGGACCGGCCCCGCCTCCGGGCGGGGTCGGCCAGGAGGAGGAGGGCGTCCGAGAGGGCCAGGGAGCGCAAGTCATGGCCAGCGGCATGTGCGCGGCCCAGGGGGAGGACCAGGGACGTCATGAGATGAGAAGAGGCGCCATGCAATCTGGGGACATGTCATGGCCCCCGCCATGAGGTGCCCCCCCCCCAACGCATCACCCCCCTCTTTGCCGCCCCCGCCCCCGAGTCCTCGCGACGGTCCCGCCGGGAGAGACGGAGTCTGGCAGGGCCACCTCTCCCGAGGCGCCTCAGGACGCACGCCGTGCCTGAGCGCGGCGCGTGGCCTCTCTCCTGCCGTGGAGGAGCAACTTGTCGAGGCCTTCGAGGTCCGCGCGGGGCGCCGGGCCTCCCACTCCTTGGAGGATCCAGGAGTCGGGCCCCATTATGTGAACCCCTTGCTGTGCCCGGGGGGGCGCATACGCGGCGCGCATCTTCTCGGGGTGCCGGTGACGCTTCGGGGGCGTTTT